TTTTTACTTAACAAGAATCAAAGGAAGATGGAAAGCGGCAATTTTAAAAAAATCGAGCGAATAAGACTTTTGCCAAATGTTCAAAACGATGTGGGTATCGGTAGAATGATCTTTCTCAATTTTATTAATTAGACGTAAGGCCAAAAGTTAAATTAAAAACAGCCGCATCAGCTGCCACTCGTTACTCGCTCAAAAGTGCAAATGACTGTTCACATTCCCCGTATATATGTCAACGTATGTACGCGTTTTAATTGGGATGACGTCAGTCGAAAGCGGTTGGCACCGTGTTTCCCAGGATTTGTTTAGACTAAAAAACACAATGAGAACGCAGAAGATATTCGACAAAACCGATGAAGCATAAAATTGTAAAATTCACGATAAAATAGAACAAAATCTTGCAATTTCTAAATCAAATCTTATCGCAATGATAAATGCGGAATTATTATAAATCAAACATTGCTAAACTCTTGACAAAAGGATCTCTTTGCTTTCTCAGACGAAAAGAATTCGGCTTATTGACGATGACGAGTAGTGGATCATTTTATATGAGGGATTTTTTCGGGTTACCTCGTCGAAAACTAACGCTCCAAACTTTGTGAAATGGATGTGGGTACAGACCCGTATGTAACTGTAATCGGATGCATTAGCGCAAATGCCGAGGAAGATTAATCGCGTGTGAAAAGGGGGCGACACCCCTTTTCTCAGAAATCTACGCGCAGAGGGATGTATCTTTGTATTTTATTTACGAACGTCTTCGGGAGATCGCGTGCACGCGGGATAAGGAATCGTAGTGCGCGTGAACGCGCGATGCACCGAAGTGCATTTCAATAGCCTGTCTCGTGCATCAGGATCTACAAGTCAATGATAACCTAGATTCTCATCTCGTGCGGTTGAACGAGGCCGGCCCGTTGTCGGCGATGTCATCGTCAATTTTTATCACGCTCCATTCAATTCGCGTCGCGCCAACACAGCGGATTTTATTCACGGGAAACGATCGTCGACGATTTTCGTCGGAACGCATTAGTCACGCCACGATGTGTACAAACACCTAATTACTATCACAATACGATTTGTTGAATTGAACTCGAAAAGAGAGACCAATCCTTTATTTTTACTTATTATTTCTGTGATTTCTGAGAATATTAGCTCTGCGGGAGCACGCGATAATGATTTTGTTCGTCATAGCAGTTCGGAACGATTTTGTACACATTTATCCATGCTATAGAATAAGTTTCAAGTATATTTAAATAAAAAACTAATTTTCTGATATATTTGAAAAATCAAAATAATTGTTTAATTATAATTTAAATATAATTTTTGTGTTATACATGTATCTGATAAGAATATTGCGCGACTTTAAATTTATATTTATTTTATACTTACTGAGCTTTTATATAATTTGTAAATAGGGTGAAAATTGAATGGAATGTGAGAAAATTAAAATATGCGTGGCGATAGCGAAGTCGAAGCTAGTAGAACTTCCTGGTCGTTATGTTAATAATTGCAATTTCAACTGCGATGTCTATCCTTTCAATTCCCGACGTAATATGAGAATAATTGACGTAGTTCGTGGAAGAAGACGTTTGCGCACATTTGAGTGACACCGGTGATGTCTGTTTAGTAAACATATCCAGAAAATCTGAAAAATCAGAGATTAGATATCAAAGTGCCTGATAGCCCAAATTTTAAAATATTCGAAAATGAAACAAGTTTCGCGAAAAAGACTATAATAATGAGAAACTAGCGAAGAGTGGAATTCTATTTTCAAAATATTAGAAATTAAAAAAATAAAGAGAACTTTAAGGAACCAAACCCTTTGAAAAGTTTCTTTATTTTTTTACTTTCTCCTGTATATTATTTTATAATATATTAGCTTTGTAAATTAGCATACTTTTTTTTATACTTACTCGTTCTTTGAATATGATTGTGTCATGCTTCTAATTCCAAGGTTTTGCGTATTCTCAAATATTTATAGGAAATAAAACTTTCTGATAAATTTCACGATGATAAATTGTCAGCATAAATGTCCGCCATCTCTCTTGTAATATTGGCGAGTTGATCGTCAAAGGCAAAGCTCGATCTTGGGCCTCTGTTCCAACCGAGTGGACACCCGACCGGTGTACATCCAACACCGTGCGACCGTGCACGTTGGCGACCGCAGGGAAAAAACCCGACACCCTTTACCTTAAACTTCAAACAAGCGCGCGCGCAAAATAACAACGTCATATTATTTCGTCGGCGAGTATCAAGTTTTCCGCGTGTTCGTTGCTCCTTTCAACCTCACCGTGATAACCGCTTCGGGAATGGTGTAGACTTGCTAGAATTTTAAGAGCTATCTTTAACGTCTTTATAATCTTTTATTTTCTCGAAAAGTATTCTGTATTTTTTATTAAATTCCGCCTTGCAAATACTGTAAAGATAAAAAATAATTAAAATTAACACTATTTTTAATTATAATTGACATAACATTAGCGTCTGATATGTTAAAATTGGCACTGAAGGAAGAGGGGAAAAAATTCGCAGCACATATGCAAATTAGAAATTTGTATTTCATGAATTATGCATGCATAATTATTGACAGGGGGGAGAGAGAAGACTCCTCTCCCTCGTCGGAAACGCTCGTGATGGAATCCTAGCGCCGTTTACCGAACGGCGAATGTTTCCATGTAATTCTTCCGTGTTCGACACTCGCTATTATTTCCGTCTTCGGGATTACGTCGGGTCGGTGGCGGGAAGACGCAACAGTTGGCCGACGCCGTCGAGCGTGACGGAGACGTTGAAAAAATTTGCAACGACGGAAGGACGTGCGGAAGGACAGGCACTTAGGTGATTATCTTAGGTGCATTAGGTGATTATCTTAGAACAGATAAAGCCGCTCTTTAGCAGGTGATTTCCCTTCTTTCCCTTTTTTTCGTAAACGCCGTTGGAATTCACGGATGCGTCTGTGAAAAAACAAGCCGAAAATTAAAGCCGAAGAGGCGTTTGCTTGGAAAATTGGAAAGACGAATAGAAACTAATTGCGAAGAAGTCGAGTCATTTCGCCAAATTGTGCTACCGATCGAAGAGAACAACTTTCTAAGAATTGTTTCAGTGAAACGATTAAGAATCTCTTTGATTAGAGAAAATGACGCGTGAAGAAAGTATCCTAATTAAAAATACATAACAAACAATTTTAGAAAAGCAGATTTGCATTTGCATATGCATTTACGCGCAAATTATGAATGCAAAATGTAATTAAGAGCATTAAGGCGAAATGAAAAGAATTTGCTGCAAGTTTCATCAACTTTTTGTTTATTAATTCTTTTTTCAAGGAACTTCAAAACAATTTACGACGACGTAAACAAGAGTGCGTAAGATCACGAAGTCGATTAAATCAGTGTGAACTTGGTACAATGTCGAGGAGATATCGATACGCGTTGCGCAAACATATTCGACAATACCTCGACATCTAACAATACGGAGATTACATGCATGTGAGACGAGCTGAGGCCACACGAAAGGCTTCTCCGCCGACGCTTCTAGCGGATTGATTAATCGAGTGCAAAGTTAAACGACGCTCGGGGCGGGAAGATGTTTCCACGAGACGGAAGATGAGAAAGATGGAGTAAAAAATAAATCATCGTAAAATTGATACATTCCACGAGAGGCGAGATAGTATACGAAAACACTGTTACCGTGATCTCCCTCTCTTGCGATTAACCCTTATCTTTGAACTCGTCATTGCCCGCTGGCAAGTTACGCGTGAGGAAAACACGTACATATCCGTGTACATGTCCGCAGCAGCTCACGTCGCATGCATTTCTGCGATTATTATCGTTTCCACTGAAATTTTCGTTCGTGGCACGGCACAATTTACGAACGCGCCTATTACCTAATTGCGGAAATTCGGAGTTAAACGCACCGCCGTGCAATACCGCGCGGCTATTTGCGGAAAATACACGGTTGCTTCAAACGTATGAGGAGAATAAGATACTTAACTTTGACATCACGTTCAATTTGCGTCTCTGTTTATGTAATACTGTTCTCTACCCGTCGATTAAACTTATTTCATTAATCAAAAGGCACGTTTATATTGTCGGATAAAAAAAGGATTGGTATACACAAATCTAAAATACGATAGAATTATTCAAGAGTTTAATATTGATTTGTTTATTGATTTAATTTAATACGATTTTGCTTGTTAAGAAGGATTTAAGAAATATAATAAAAACGCGGTGGGATTTTGTACGGATTGGAAAAATCGCTGAAATCACTGATTTACAGAACGTGGACGGTTCTCACACAGCGGTAGCTGTAAATTTGCATTTCGCAGGTGGAAACTATTCCGTAATAAATGCACTATGATAATTAGACGACGGTCAAACGAATTGACTTCCAAAATTCCCATGCTGGCGACTATGGTTCACTTCACACCCCTTTCAACGATATTTACGCAGCGTACTCTCTCCCTCCGCCGCCGATCTCGGCTCTTTCCCAATTACTCTCAGCACCATCTGAGCGCCGCTACGCCGGACGCGCACCTGTGCCCCGGAAGTGTGTAACGTACAGGTGCAGTCGCTGTAACGAGCGCTGAGCGAGTAGTTATCGGTGACGTTAGCGAGGAAGGCCGGGCACCTTGGGGACGATTATATTCGGCGATTCATTCCGGCGCGCCGCGCCAGATACGCGCTACCGGGGGTGTCAATTGAACCGGATGGAACAGTTTAACATCTTTTAAAGACGGCAAGCGATTCAATTTATTTTTCGCCGCCCCTGCGCGTAACATAATCGCGCTAACGTCGACGTTCGCCGTCTCTCTCTTTTTTTTTAACGCTCAATCGACGTCCCCGTTGATGTTGTATCCTGCGTGGCGCGCATCTTGTTGCATTTCAGACACGCGAACGCAATATCCATTCGATCGTTGAAAATCAATGATCGAATGTATCAGAATAGATTTCATTTCATTGAAGTATATTGTGTAAAATTATTTTGCTATAAAATGTGTGTTTTTCTAATTGCAGAATCGAACCGACGACCTGAGCTCGGAGGTAGGATGCGGGGTGCGGTGCAAGATCGATCAGGTAAGAACTTTTCATCTTTAATCGCAGCTTGAGTTGCATTGAACATGGGATATACGAATGGTTCTCCTCGAAGCTCTTTGTTCGGGATATCAAACCTTGTTCGTCGCTATCACGCGAAGTGGTAAAAAATTATCGGCGCTTTCGCGTGTTGCCTTTACCATTTTTTTAATTATAACAAAAGGGATAATTATGCGAAAGTCAGATAAAACACCGCGGGACAGCGGGTGTGCTTTTCGGCCTTGGCTTCTTCAGGGGTTGATCGCCTTAGCTGATCGGTGGAATCTAATCGCATGCGGCAACGTAACGAACTTCGGGGCTACGATCGGAACAGTTCTGCGGGATACGCGAATGACCGGTGCGGACGTCGGAGACCAAAATGAAGGGACGGCGGTCCCTCGTTACAATGAAAGTACTTCCGCTGGTGTTCCAGGGGTCCCCGCCGTTCACGGCGGAGATGGTAAACGGCGAATAAAAAAACAACATCGGTCGATGAATGGGACGGACGCGCGTACGCGTACGTACGCAGCGCATTGCGCGCGTACGAATGAAAGAATGGCCCGGTCACCGTCTCTCTCGCTCTTTCTCTCTCACTCTCTAGTACGGCTTCGTGCTTTTAAATTGGATCGCGTACAAGTGCGACCGATGGCGGATGTCGCCAAATTGCCGTGCGACTCCGGATTCACTCTCTCTCGCGCTTCGTCCGTCGCTGTTACCGTTTCGCTCAGTTCCTCTCCTCCGCCCGAAACGGAAGTGCAGATGAGAAAAAACGAGGAAACTGGGAGATGCGTCTGGCACCGTGCGCGTTTAACTGTCATCGCACGATGAAATGAACAAGTTAGAAACGGCGAGAAAATCCTGCAATTCCGAAATATTGCGACAGCTAGAAAACACATACGCGTGCACGGGTTATAATAATAGTATGATGGAGTTATTTCGCCGACATTGATTAACTTCAATTGCAGTTTGACTCTTTCCTTGTCATTTTTTATTTCTAATTTTTTTTTAAGGAACAAAGAATGAGGCAAACTGAAGTCAAAGTTAATCGATGACGTTGATGAACCTAATTTAGCAATAATAATTATTTCAGATTACATTTTCTCAGATTTATGTTTTATAGTATAATTTATAAAATAAATCTGAAACAATTTAATTCAATTTCATATAAAAATTACAATTAATTTTTTTTATTTAGTCTATTTGAAACATTTCTTTTTCTTATTTTAAAATTTGTTACGAATATTATTATTTTCAACATTATTTAAAAGTCGTCAGAAATGCACATTCCAGTGAAAGTAAAACACCCACAGAGCCGGAAGGATATTTACCAACGCGTGTCTCCAGGGGGGATCGAGTGGGGTAATTAACTTTACGAGAAAGGTCCAAAAGAATCCCGGCGTTTAATTATCGTGTCTCCAAAAAAGAAAAAAAAATGCGGTCGTAATAAGCTGGGCGTGCTGCGTGCTGCATGACGCGCGTGGATATCGGCACGCGATTCGACATTCATTGTGTACGTTGCAGAGCGGGACCTGAAAAGTGAATTACCGCGCGAATTGCGCTTAAAGCGATTTCCTCTTTCGACTCGTTTCACGGTTCGTAAGTCGCCAGTAACGCGTACGAGTAACGGACGGTTCGGTGTAGGTGGAGGAAGACGCTGCGCGATTTTAGCCGGGCATTTGCGCGCTTTTGGCGTGACCCATTTCTGGTTTCCAGCAGCTTTCGTGACTGGAAAGACAGATGCGGAATCTTCGATTCCATAGAATGATCCAACTTGCCCGCAATCACTGAATTACGTTAATTTTTTTTTGTTTTTGTATCATTGAAATATTTAATTTCATTTATGTTTCAAGAGAAAGAGGAAATGAGATATTTAGCTTCGAAAATTCTCTCGAATAATTAATTTAGTTAATCAACGTGAAAGATTAAGTATGTTGCGTGCTTGCTATAGCAAATATCAGCGCGATTGACTTTACGTTTCTTCCGGTAATTTCACAGGTCGATAGCGACGAATTGATACCGCTGGAATTTCTTTTGTTCAACGCCCTTTCATTTCTTTGGTTCGCTTTCGAAAATTAATGTAGCCTAGCATCCTCTGCGCGCCTCCGGAAATATCCGTCAGTGGCAACTTCCGATCTTTCCGGAGTGACCATAATTAATAAGCTATATGCTTTAATCAAACCGAGAGATAATTTCTTTGTGCAAATGACACATATATATTTTTAGAATTATTCAAAAATTATTTATAAATTAGAAGTTATTTCTTACGACACGCTATAGCATTTCCTATCTGATATACATATCGAAAAAGACACAAACCATGGACAAACGGTAAACACTTGCTTCCGTGTATCGTGTGCCAAGAATCCAGACGGTCGAGTGTGTTTGTCTGACGACGAAGCAAAGTAGAGGACCACCGACGGCGGGGTATCCATACAAATGTCACTGCGCGACAGCAGCTACTGCCAGAAGCCACTTTGCTTCTGGAAAATTGCTGTCGTAAATGTGGTGAAGCTAACAAGATCCTAACACTGCGAAATAATAAACGGAAAGAAATTTTTAATATTCACGCGGAATTCTCAAATCATTGTTACTACTTTTAAAATTAACGTAGAAATATCGAAAAATAATCGCGCAAATATGAAATAAATAATTCTTCGTTAGATGCTCGGATAAGACATTTAAAGTTTAAATATGTAACAATTAAGATAAAAGGATGTCGTAAAAGCTTGTTACACAAACGGACGACCAATGTGAATAAAATGCAGACGACCAATGTGAGACGAAAGAACTTATTGATGCCAGGAACTGCTGAAAAATTTGACACTGCTAATCAGTTGCGTACAAATTAACAGCTCATTATAAAGACATTACGAAAGATGATCCACGGCGCCGTGTTCTCTCGTTACTATTTTTTTTCTCTCACCCCGTGCGCCCATAGTGACACGAAGCGTCAGACTGAATGCAGTAAATGGGGTTAAAGCAAAATGAGGAGAGGACAGATAGATCCTCATCCGTGGTAGGATGAAGATCTACGATCTACGGGGAGCCGCGCGTGTGGAGTGAGGGCCCAGCTGGGGGCATAATACGCGCCGAGGATTTAATGAGGAAGTGAGAAATTAGCGGCCGCTGCGCCGAGCCGCTCGGTTCAGCCATTTTCCACTGTCTGATAGTTTTGTCACAACCCCTATTGTGAACAGCTAGATCGTTTAAAAACCCACGTTTGACGAGGCGCGTCAAATTAAAATGCCCAGATGCTTGTTAAAGCGAATTATGCCATGGGATCCGTGCGTCCCTCGCTTCGTAGAAGGCCAATATTCACATTTTCTAAACAGCGAGGAGATACGATCTGCTAAAAATAAGCTGCGAATTAATCAGAGTCATCTGAAAAGGGCGAACAGTTGTACAACTATAGGTCGCCGCGGTCATAAATTAGATAAGCCATTAACTCAACAATTTTTTGTAGGACGTGGACTAACTCGCGCGATAAGTGAACGGCAGTGAAATGTGCGTTTTACGTTTTTGCGTAGTTCCTAATCAGTCTCGCAAAGCAAATTCCAATTCTGCGATTGTAAGTGTATTTACATTTAATATTTTTACTTAATTGAAATACGCGAGTAATCAAATATACGGATAAGTCAAATAACGCGAGGTCGGATAAATCGACGTGTTTTTAATGATATAAATAATTGCATTTCTAAAACAATAATGAAAGAATAAACAAGTGCAGACATTTTTTTTATCAGGTAGGAACTCAAGTCACGAATTATCATTGACGTAACTTTGTGATTGATAAAAAAAATTTCAATTACATTGACAAATTAACGTGTGCGATTTAAATTATGTTGATGTGACATTCTTGTCGATGATTTACCGGGATTGTCGTCGAGCTCCAACGTCAAATGATTATTAATAACGTTTATCTGGCGCTGGAGGTCCCTTTCCTTCCACAGACTTTTCAGACGAGCTGACCTATGTGATACCCTCGTACATCACCATACACGCATATATTATTATGAGCGTATAATATGCGTAGCGCGTCTCGAAAGATCACGCCGGAGCTCGTGCTGAAGGCTTTTTTACATACACAGATTTTACATACAAATACGAGCCAATTGTGTAAGCAGAAACAATTAAACAACATTGAATAGAAGTTAAAGATGCCTCGAAAGTTTTTATTTTAAGATTCTTAATCTCTTAAACTTTCTATCTTAAAGTTTTAATATTTAGTCTTAAAAATATATATTTAATACTTGCAGCTTTGTTGAGAGAATTCGTAAACATATCGTTTGTGTATGCTTTAACAGAAAAAAAATGATACAAGATAACGGTGAAAAATATTGAGTAAGAAATATCGGTGTCACATCAGCTCGTGTTATTTGTTGTGCGCATTTATTTTATATTTTACGTACTGCAGTAATTTAATTTGCGATTAACAGTGGTATCGATGCTCAAAGAAATTGAATTTCTCGCACGATGCAATTTGCTTATTATTCCGCAATGCCGAGTGCAGTATTATTTATATGCGGCGCCTCTCGAACTGAGCGCAGTGTCGATCAGCTTGCCAATTGCTAAATAGCACCTCTTGTATCTCCGGACATTAAAATAGATCTTCCACTATGTACTACTGCGAAACAATCACACTTATTTATGATTGAGACTGATGGAACTGTGACAGTGGAGCTAAATGAAAAGAATACGCAAGAATTGAAAGAAATCGTGATTTTTGTGCTGTTTTTCGGTGAAAAAGTACCGAGTTTGCTCAAAATTTATGTTAGGAATTAAATGAGATTGAGAGATAACGTCATTATTTAGTTGCACTCAGTTATTCACAAAATATTAGCGACGATCGAAATGTTTCAACCGTTTAGCCCGATCAAAGGCTGCACTCGAGACACTCAAAGAGAGTTGCTTTTGTATATTTATACTTCCAGTTGCATCCGAATGCATTTTTTACTTTGATGTTTTCTCTCAAAACTTAACGGCTTAAGCTTGTATCTCCGTTTATTACACTGCCAAAGAAATTGTTTAAGAAAATAAATCGTAAAGTTACATTGCAGCGATGAGATTAAAAATTTGGTTTCAAACATTTATTATCAGCATGATTAATAATTGGAATTTTTCATTCATAATTATTTTCTTAACGTATAATTTATTCGAATAAATTTTGGAAAAGAGATTTATCGCTATGATGCTAATTTTGTTCAAAAGAATTAAATCAATATAAAAATCAACATGTGACATTGATGTATATTAATTGAATTGATGTAGAATCACTCAAGAAAATTTTTGCTCTTATATATTTTTAATTAATTTATAATGTGACGACTGTGGATATTTTTTTAAAAGAAAAATCTGTAGTTAAAGAGGTTGAATCTCTCTAAAGTAAACAAAGACGTGCACTGGCGCGGTGGAAGCTGCGCTGTACGCGTCCTCGGCTACAGTTGGCTTGTTGTCGACGACAAATGCCCACATCCTCTCGCACAGAAAGTTAATGCGTTAAACTTTAGTTCGCAAATCCATGTCCGACAAGCTGCCACGCAACGAGCGTCTTATGAACGTGGGCGTTACTTGAGGCACGTGCCACGCAAGCCGAGACCAGACGCGGCCACGAAAAATTGCGGTTTCGCCTCGCGACGGTACAGTGCGTTATGTCACATCGCTCCAGATAACGTGACCCATTGTTCAGCCACTTCCGCAGATGTATTTTAGCGAATTGTAGAATGTCCGACGGCCTTCGGTGGAAGGATGTATCGGATATACCATTTTCCGTAAATCTGACGTACATATAGATACTTATGTAAAGCATTTCATTGTTTGTCCGGAACATGAAGTGTCCAGATAAACGCAAATCAAAATGCCACGAATGTTGATGCATTCGCGAAAAATTCTAATCATCAAAAATAATAGTGTACAATTAAAGAAATAATAAATTCTCGCAAAATATGAGTCATTTGTTTTAGAACAGAACACTTAAAATTTTCGACAATTTTGTCAAATTAAATATTGCGATATTTAAATTTATTGCTTCAAAATTTAATTTATATATTATATTGTTCTTAAAATAAACATTTAATTTCTCAATTTTTGCAGGTTTTCAATTTTTGAAAAGATCGGTCAAACTTGTTTTACAGATTAATTAAAATATTGTTTATTGTCATGTTCTCATCTTTATTTGTTGTTTCAGTGTACAAAAGGCTGCGAAGCATGGGAACAAGCGCTCGTCACAAACTGCCAAGCTGTTTGCGTTAGTATCGTTGCCATTCTTATTTTTATAACGTTTATCGGACGAAGTTACGCAAAAGTGCACTGTGCTCACAACGTAGTTTTCGCACGGCCTTTTATATAATTCCCAATTCTCGAGATAAATGCGTAATAGTCCGATGTACTTACTGTTCGCAGAATGGAACGCAAGAATTACTACCACCGAAGGAACTGTACTGCGTTTTGGGCTGCCACGACGCGTTAAATCGTTTCTTCCAGCAACTCAAAGGTAATTGCGTCTATTTTCATTTAGACATATAAATTAATTGCGAAGAGAATCCATTGAAATTTATATAAAAATTTGCATACAAATATAATTGAATTAAATTGAATAAACTGAAATAAATTTGAGATATACGATAATTTAGTTAAATTAAATCAATATGTTAGAGATTATCAGACATTTATTTTCTCTTAATCCAAACAACATTGCCACGATAAACTTACAGTTAAAGATCACTTCTTGTATGCAATCAACTATGTTTATGAATTTGCAAAGATAATATTCAAATTTAGAAACTTTTAGTCATATTTGTAATTATTTATCTGTTAATTCTGCGAAGTATATTATTTTAAAGAATATTACTCAGTGATCATCACAAATTAATTGATTATAAGATACTTAAAGATATTCTTGCACACAGCGCTTTACAAAAATCTACACATATTCGCCGTTTTATGACGGAGTCACACAAATCACGTTGTGTTATTGTTATCGTAAAAAGTTTGCAAACTCTCTAAAAATGCGCAAACTCCTTGCCATAATAGTCGACGGAGGCAATGTCGAGCGGCACTTCTTCGTAGTGGTCGAAGTTGGTCGTGTCACTGTGGCTGGTGACGTGAGGAATGAAGCTTGGTTGCACTTTCTGATGATAGATCTCGATCCAATCGATAGACTTGAACCAGCGGTGCCTCTTGATGTCCAGACTGCCGTCCTTCAAATTGCCGTATCTCCTCGTCAGATCTACCTGCAGAACATTCTTCAGAATGTCTCTCAGTTCCTCGCCGAAGTGATGTGCGAACTTGTACTTGCCCGACACGATCTTTTCGTAGATCTTCATGGGATCGTGCGCGAAGAACGGTGGGTAGCCCGCGTTCATCTCGTAAATCAGTACGCCGAAGCTCCACCAATCGACCGCCTTACCGTAGCCTTTCGATAAAATCACCTCCGGCGCCAGGTATTCCGGTGTGCCGCACAACGTCCACGTGCGGTTGTCTATCATCTTACAGAAGCCAAAATCGGTCACCCTGATGTAGCCAGAGTCTTGAATCAGAATGTTCTCCGGCTTCAGATCGCGATAGATCAAACTGCAGTGGTGCAGATATTCCAAGGCTAAAGCCACCTGGGCGGCGTAGAATTTTGCCAGCGATTCGTCGAACTTTCCCATGCGTCTCAGATGGGTAAACATCTCGCCGCCGTGTATGAACGGTAGCACCATGTACACGTAGGAATTGTCCTTGAATAGCAAAATTGGAATGTATTTATAATTACTTTGCAAAAATATTATGTATATAAGTGTAACGACGATTTTAGACGCTTTCGATTTTAGAACACAATTTTTTTTCCGTCAAAGAATCTATTTATCTGGCGCTTTCTACGTGTGAGAAAATATAAGATTCAAGGGATAAGTAATGTTACTTTGATTTTTGATCCTTGCCTTGAAGCAGAACTCCATGAAGACCGTGAAGGGGAAGCTGATGCTTTGCAGAATTCGCTTTTCGTTACGCGTGTGATCTATTTGCTTCGACTTGACGAGTTTCGCCTTGTCGAGGATTTTCATGGCATAATACGTGGACGTTGGTTTGTATTTGACGAGGATGACGCGGCCGAAGGCACCGGTGCCGAGGGTTCTGAAACGTTCGAAGCTCTCCAGCGTCACGTCGTCGATCCTCTTCATTTTCCACTTCTCCATAAAAGTCGTCTTCAGGTCGTCGAGGATCTCGTCGTACTCCTTGATCCGGTCTTTTTCTGTGTCAACCATATCGTACGTTGGGCACTCAAAGTGCAATTTAATATTTCGCTTTTAAGTTTAATCGGTTAGGTTGACGATGTGATCGTCTGCTGTTTCTTACGGAAAATACTATTTTATATATCGCTATATTGCACTTCGCGATCGAAAGTTGATACAAAATTGTAAACACTCGTCCAGAATTATTCGCACATCTGTACGTGTAAAGAAAAATTCTTATCTATCTGTTTTTGTCATTTTGTGCGCGAGAAATAATAAAATTATTTAATGAATAGCGGAAATCGGCACGCCACCGGCGCCAGCGTTGGTCGCGGACTCGTTGACGGCTACGTCGCTCAGACTCGAGTGGAAAGGCATAGATGTACACAGACGTGTTGGCAGCATTTCGTACCTGGTGCAATATACGAGGCGCTACGAGAAATCAGCTGAGACATGGCAGTATTGCAGGAATCAATCGTGGGACAATGGCAATCGCCAGATACTGGTCGAAAATTTGCAGCCGTATACAAATTACAAGGTATGTGAAAATAAAGGAATCAACGAAATACTCCATAAATTACTGTCTAATGATTGCAAATATCACAAAAATTATACTGAAAATAATAATCCCTTTCTTTTATTCAATATATAAATATAAAAAATTGCGCTTAACACGAAATGTTCCTGAGATGTAAGCTCGATATTTGCATAATTTAAGCTTGAGAAAGACAGGACGCTCTGAAATTAAGACATTTCTCTTTTTATAAATGATTTGCATTTCACTGAAAACGCTGCCGTTTGCAGTTTCGCGTAGCGTTGCTCCTGAAATTGTCGGTCCACAATCCGGAGCCGATCGTGTCAGCGCCGGTAGTGATAACGACACTGGCGGCTGGTCTGCCGACGTCACCACCGAGAATTGTAAGAGGCTCGGCGGTAGACAGCTACCGCGTCTCTGTGTCTTGGGAACCGGGCGAATTTGTGAACGGGCCACTTTTGTCGTATGTCCTGCGCCTGCAAGGGGATAATCATACCCAGCTTAAGGTATACGCCACGCCAGAGCCGTTTATTCAAATGTCTCTCGTATTCTCTCGCGTTGTGCACAAGCATTTCTCTTTCTCCTTTCGTCTGTGCACTCTCGCAGCCGACATTTTCGCGCATTTGCAAGGCGCGTCGGCATCGTCACGCTTTGCTGTACTATCTAACTGTTATTTACGAAAGCGCAATGTGCAACTGGTTCTGCAAGATAGACTCCGTTATTCTGTTTGAAGAGAATTCATTTGCGAACGACCGTGTTAATAGTCTTAGCAGTAAACTGTCTTGGTCCGCAATTTATGAGCGCTGCAAAATGATGTTTTCTAATTTTTATTCTTATAACAATATCTATTGACTTAATTAATATATTAATAGATCGCCAATGAATTTGATTTCAAATCTCTCCTTTTTCACTTTGCATGTTAATATTAATTTGCAAAGAATACAGGCTTTGAATGCACGTCCGCTGCTTCGAGACACTAATAATAGACATCTATTGCATCTACATTAATTATGCACTAATTACGCTGCCTAGAATTCCGCTAACATTAGTTCGACGACTTGCACGAACCAGACCATTTGCGAAATATGTTTCTGGCATGGCGTTTTATTTTCCCTATTGCGTATGTTCTTCCTAAAGAGGGACTCAACGGTTGCATTTACGAGATATTTATACGTTATATTTTACCAACAGGATATTCCAGTCAAAGAAAGCACCGGTCTTTACATGTTTCAAAATCTCATACCTGATCAGAATTATTCTATCAGTGTGACTATGAGAAATGAAGTCGGCGAGGGTCCACCACAGACTACTTATATTTCTACGACCCCTCTAGAATCTATCGGTAGGTTGCGAAAAATGTACAAAAAAATGTAGAAATATTCAGCAGCAATTTTATCTTGCCAAGTAATTGCAGACATACACAAAATACAAAAAACCATCGCATTATTTTAGTAGCTAAGTTTCTTCTAAGTCGGATATCTTATATTTCTTATGAATTTTTAATCGATATTATAAATAAAAATTCTAAAAAGATACTTAATGCTTTATTCGGGATCAGCATGGTGGTCTTTTTAATAGACGTATAATTTTTAAGAACCAATGCCGAACTATCAATTTGCAGATTTCAACAATTTTTGTTCATATCAATAAACTTGAAAATTATATTTACAAATATTTAACGAAAGACGAATTTTAGTGAAGGACACGCAACAGCCGATTCTCATCATCGGAAACGAGCATACGGTCATGAAGCAGGGCGCCGATATGCTGGACGAGCCCAGCGTCGTTTACGAGACGAATTCTGTGATCCGCGGTGTGGCGATACACGTGGCGTCCGCTCAATTGTTCGTTTCCACTTCAACGGGTTACGTGTATCGAACGTCGATCATCGAGCGATCGAGCAAGGCTGAAGCTATCTTGAGCCCCGGTCAAATGAATTTCGAACCACTGAGTCTTTCGGTCGATTGGCTGAATCTCCACCTGTACGTTTTGGGAGAAGTAAAACACGCGACGAGCAAGTGGCAAATAGCCAGATGCAATCTCGATGGCAGAGGCTTGACAGTGGCCATGGCTGGAATTCTGAGTCGACCCTCGCACATCGAGGTCGATCCTTACAACGGATATCTCTTCTGGGTCACTAAAGTGGGGCTGTTCAGATTGGATTTGGCCGATATCAGCAATGGTGTGAAACACGAGGTATCGATTATTTACAATTTTTATAGCTTGCTGATACAACAAATAAATGCAAAATTTTTAAAAGTTTAAAGTCTTAGTATTTTAATTGTTGTGCAAATTATTTAATTGTTAAATTAAGTATTTTCTTCTGATAATACTTCTAATAATACTAATATTTTTTTATTTTCGTTTAATAAAATAATTTTTCGAAGCATGTTGTTGCTATAAAGATTTATGCATTTTAAAAAACGCCTTGAAAAATAATTATTATTTTTGCGAAAATGTCTCGATGTTATTTTTTCTTTTCAGGCTCAACCATTTGTAATTGTTGAGGACGCGCATTTGGGCGCTTTTACAGTAGATCATACGAACTTTCGATTACTCGTTCCTCATCACACTCGGAACACGGTGATATCCGTATCACTGGACGGTCGCGAACTTGTTGATCTGCGTCCTAATACGCAGAAGCCTAAATTCAATAACGTCGTTTCCCTAGCTATGGCAAATGGATTGTTTTTTTGGACTAATGGCGCAGGGGTCCTCGCCGAAAACTATCATTCCGGCCAAAACAGATACTTCCACAATGCATATCCCGACACGTAATATTCTCTTACATTTCTTCTGAAAGATTTTAGTTTTGGCTAGAAAATTAGAATTATGAATTATAAGTAAATACTCATATTTTAATTAAAATTAAAGTAAAAATAAATTAAAAGATCATGCTTGTTCGTCAAAATTGTACAAATTAATTTCGCTTTCTGTAAAGTTTAATCAAATCTCGTCATATATTAATAGGATAATTAAATAAATGCTATCTTCTTCAGGTCTGGCATTTCCTTCGTCAGCGTCAACGTGTTGATAAATGCTAGTCAACCAGTTCCTATTCCAATAAATCCACCCACGGGAGTGCAAGCAGTTCTAGGAGTGGAAAGAGCAAAAGTTTCCTGGCAAGCTCCTCATTTGCTGGGCGGCCAAGGAAAAGGCGCTTGGCAAAACTGGTCGTACGAGCTCGAAATCAAGGATGAATCGACGAATGAAACTGTCCGTCAGAAGGATATCGCCGGATCGTCTCACACTGTCCACAATTTGCGAGAAAGATTGGAATATTCGATCAAAGCTGCAGCGTACACGAGCGCCGGCAGAGGACCGTGGTCTTCGGAATTCCGAGGGCAAACCTTAAAGTAATTAAAAAATTAATAAATAATCTTAATAAATAATAAATTTGATATGCTGGATTTTTTCAAATATCTTAAAATATTTTACAAAAACATTGTAATTATGCTCTTCCAATTTTTTATTTTGTTTTCTCGTTAAAACTTTAATCGCACAGTTTATATCCTCGAAATGCACTTTTTGTTTCGCACGAATTTTTCCAGTTGCTTATAATCAAATTATACATTTAGGAGTGGTACGCATGCGTCTATCTTGTGGTCATCGAACGAAGGGCTCTTGAGAAGCGACGTAACCGGCGAAAATATAGACACGCTCGTTTATAAAGCTAGTCTGAAAGAATTCGAGAGCGAATTTCATATTGTTGACGTTAGTTGGTACAAGGACGCGCTGTATATAGTAGGAAATAATTCCGCGCTATATCGTTACAATATCAAAACTCATGAGAAGATGAAACTCAACATCAACTCGGTCGGAAGCGTCGCTGTGGACTGGATATCGAAGAAACTATACTGGGCGAATCCAAAACAACAAATTGTAAATATAATTAAATGCTCCAACATATACATTAAATTACAGAGACTCATTTTTTATAAGTTCTTTTATAAATTTGATTTTAAATTCTTGTGTCACAAGATACTAAAATATTTTTAAAAAATTACTACATTGTAAAGACAATTACCTAAAATTCTTGAAAGCTATAAGATTTCTGTTAAAAGTGATAATCGCAAGAATATTATTTCGACTTTACAGATAACAAGAGCGAACCTGAACGGATCTCAGCAAGAACCGATGTCCATCCTAGCAATTGTAAAAGAGCTGATAATCGACTCTCTGGAGGCGTATTTATATTGGTCAACTGGTCACGCTGTGGAAGTTGCGCGATTGAATGGACAGGACAGGAGATACTATCATTCGGATGAAATTTTTAATGGCAAACAAGTAATGGGACTAACGCTCGACACCGAAAACAGATATGTTTACTGGATCGTTCGAAGTTACGAAAGCGGATCCATTCTCTATCGAGCACCGACATCCGAAAGAATTCCAATGAACCAGAAAATCGAGCCGAAAAAGGTTACTTTAATTTTTATAAATATTATTTCTAATAAAATCGAACGCGATCAAATTACATTCTTCGCTAGATTTTAATTCTCATATTCTTCGCACATAAATGAATTAAAGTAATCAATAATAAATTTTTAATTTAAGGTCTCTGCTTTGCAACATCCAAACATGCAAGGACCTTTATGCTATTTTTCCGAGCATCTACTGTGGCTGCAGGATGACAGAAATGCTGTGATCGGCGATCTGTCCGGTCAAAATACGGCCGTCATAAACGGGATTACTTTGTCTGGTTTATACATGGTGGCCATTATGGATCCTGCGCTTCATCAGTATCCGGAAAATTTGACGTCGGAGACAGTAGTGGTCTCGCCGAACGCCGTCGATCGCGATAGCATAAGAGTCGAGGGAACCTGGAGAAATTTCAACATTTCCTGGGATCCTGTAAAGAATATCAATTACGGCACGGTTTTCTACGAAGTAAAGTTCGCGGATTACATTAATACGAACTCGAACCCAGAAATCACGATTGAAACGACGATGCCGTACAACAACTCGGATCAGATCCTTCCCTATTCCGTCCTGGAGGTCACCGTGAAGGCTTTCACATACTGGGCAACCGCGCATCACTCCCAGATGATCTTGAGATCTCCACAGAGCGTGCCGAGTCAGCCAACATCTCCCAGAGCGTTTGTTGAATTTTATAAAAAGGTGCTGAGCGAAAATACAGACATCTTTGTGATATTCAGGTGAGAAAGTTCAAAATTCTAGTCTACATTTTTCATTTTCTTTGATTCAACGATAAAGTTTAATTCTAGAAAAATAAGCACGCTAAAGTATTTAATTCTTATTGCAGATGGAATTTGCCTGAATTTACTAACGGACTCATTCAAGGATACACGGTTCAGTGCTGGTTCTTCAACAATCTGGAGAAAATTGAAGTCTGCAACGACTACAGCATCCCGTCCACGACATTGGAGTACACGGCGTATAATTTATTACCCAACACGACGTATTATTTCCAAGTGCGGGCGCACACCAGGATCGGCGCTGGTCCTTACACGGATTTAATCAACGTGACAACCATGTACGAGAATCCGGTGCCGCAATTATTGGTCGCCACGGCGGACGCTGTGAGGATATCCGATCTGGATCAGGAGATTAACTACACGCTCACTAGGCACATCGCGAAAGAGGTCAGCTATTTGGCAGCGGAAAAGAAGATCTATTGGATCAATGAGATGCGAGAGTTGGTGACGTCGGACATGACCGGAACCAACGCTACGAAGATACTCGATCTCAACAATACTGCGGATAGCCTCTGCGTCGACTGGGTGGCGAAGAATCTGTACTGGTCGGAGAGCGGATACAGGGAACACGGATACAGGGAAAGCAACGGCTACATCATGAAGCTGGATTTGACGATGTGGCAAGCTGGCAAGATCAAGTACGAAAACATCGTGAAGACAGGGAGGCGTGTTTTGAATTTAGATGTGCTGCCGTCTCAGGGGTATGTCTTCGATTTTTATCAGAATTAAATCATTAAAATATTGTTTAATTTTTTTGTTTTTTAATCACTCGAGATGCGATTAAAATTATAAATTAATAGAAAATTATGAAGAATTGTATATTTATTAACTTCTGCTACTCTTTGTTGAAATATTCTTTAGAAATATAATTAGAATAACGTATTTTTCAGATCTTTATATTGGATTGAGTCGACGAATGATCGCGGCACAATAATGCAATCGGATCTGAACGGGAAAAACGTGCAACCTTTCTTCAAAAACATAGGTGATACGTGCTCCTGCCCATATAAACCGTCCGGCATGGTGATCGCGATGGCGATTGATAAAACCAACATCCAGAAACCAATGATGTACTGGGTGATGGAGGAACACTTAATCGTGATAGACATTTATCGTAGTGAATCGTTCGTGGACCGTGGTGGCTGTACGTGTGCCAATGTGTCAAGCTCGAAATTTAGCAAAGTGACGTCTCTCACGGTTGATAAGATGAATATCTATTGGTCCAACGCAATGGAGAATCAAATTTATTTCTTGAAGAAAGAGCACTTTTTCGTCGCGAGCAAGGAAAACGTGTCCGAGTTGAAGATAAGGAGCTTCTATCTACCAGGTGTGCGCAGCATCAGAGCTCTCGGCAAGTCCCTGCAATCCTATCCCACCGCGAACTGCCTGAAGCCCGACCAGGTTTCATCAGGTTCAGAACACGCGTCCTACCGCGTGAAGGAAGTAAATACGACGTCCAGCAGCATAGTCGTCCAGCTTCCGGAACCGATTCCCCAGCACGGCTGCAAGAATTACAGCCTACCCAGCTCGCTGTACACCATCTACTTGTGGCCGTGTCCGGAGAACGATCGCAACACGCCTTGCCAGAATCGCGAGTGGCTCAAGGTGCGGACGTACGAGCGGCGCTACGAAATCCGCAATCTCAAGCCGTTCACGTGGTACAAGCTGGAGCTGGCGCTGAGTAACATCTACACCGATCTAGAAAACTTAGATCTGGAGTTCGGCCCGGGCGTGATGCAGCGGACCGGCGTGAGTAAGCCTAGCGCGCCGGAGAATGTCACGGTGCAGGTGCTGACGCCGACCCTGGCGGTGGTCTACTGGCGTCCTCCCAGAGTCTTGCATTCCGCAGCGGTGCACTACGAGGTACACTGGTGGTCGACTTTGCTGGTGAACGGTGTGCGACAGAAGGGCGAGCAAGTGATCAAGGAACCGGAGCGCGCGGCGGACGGCAGGTTCTTCACGACGTTGAAGCCGCTGCTGCCGGGGCAGGATTACAAGGTGTACGTGCGCGCGTATCCCGCCAATTTCAACGACAACTACAACGAGAGTCTCGGCGAAACCATCCACACGTACGCGGAACCGAACAACTTGACGGTGATCGGAGTCAGTGTGGACGGTATGAACATTTCCTGGATCCCGAGCGTCAATCTAATGACCTTTTACGCGCTACAGTACAAAAACGTTGCGGTGGAGGAGTGGCAAACCGCGAATAAATACGAGAAGGAGAATGGCAAAGTCAGGTACTACATAGAAGGCTTGCAGCCGCGAACTTTGTACAAGTTCCGCTTGGTATTGAAATACCCCGCGTACGAAGAGAATTTCATATGGCCGTCCGATGGGAGATTCACATTTCAAACGCTTGGTAAGTAAATGAAAACGATAACGCGATACTTATTGTGGATATAAAAATATTTCCTAAAACTGTTACAGTAAATTTCGAGTGGAAATAAGTGTGAGAATAAAATAAAATAAAATAATAGAAACGTGAAATGTGCTCTCTGTGATAAAGGTGCCGTTCCGAGCGCTCCCGGGATGCCGACGGTGACGAGACTTCGCAATTCTGTTTATCAATTGAACTGGGAACCTGCGCAGGCTCACGGCTCGCAAGTGGCTTTGTATCGGCTGGAGGGTTTAATCGCCGACGACAATCACAAGCAAGACGAGGAGCTCGACGAAAACGAGCACTGGAATTTGTATTACAACGGAACGGACAATTATTGGATAATTACTGGAGATATGGATGAAAAGTATCGATTTCGCGTGCAAGCTAAAAACGCCTACGGCCTCGGTGCTTGGAGCCGATTAAGCACCGTCGTTGATCTAACAGAATCCAACGGTGGAATATTGGCCACGCAACAACATCTACCATTAATGTTGGGCCTCATTGCAATCGTCATTACTATCATGTTGGTGTGCTTCTGCTATTTTTTCTGCCGTAAGTATATTTGGTATAAAACTCAGTTTTCAATCGGGAATTAATTCAATAAAGAAATAAATTCAATAAAGAAAATTTATTTTGTAAGAAAACAATTTGAGTTTCGACCACGCGTATTCGACAAATATATTGTAACGTTACTCAGCAGTGTACCGACAACGTAAAGAAGACAAAAAGGCAGTTCTGCCCCCGATAGTGTCGGACGTCGAGCTGGCGACACTTCGCGAGATCCCTCGCGGGAATTTCGTTCAATCTAACGCGCTCTACGCTTCTACGCTGCAGAACGATCCGGACGATACCGCATTGCCTAAGATCAGACAGGAGCAGATTACACTGGCGAAATTCCTGGGCAGCGGTGCATTCGGAAAGGTAAAATATCATTTTCTTTTTTATATTTATATGATATTAATTTCAAATATTTTGCAGGTATTTTTGGGAAGTGCGAAGGATTTAGAAGGACCGGGCACAACGCCCGTTGCAATAAAGATGCTGCGAAAGGACGCGAACTCGCGAGAGAAGACGGAATTCCTGCAGGAGGCGAGACTTATGAGCCATTTTCGGCACAAGCATGTACTGAGGTTGCTCGGCGTCTGCTTCGATACGGATCCTCCGTTACTCGTGTTGGAATTAATGGAAGCTGGTGACTTGCTGAGTTATTTGCGGGAGAGTCGGGCTTTACAACCCACCGACTCACGCGCGCTGCGTCTACAAGATTTACTCGCCATGTGCGAAGACGTTGCACGAGGCTGTCGCTATCTGGAGGAACTGCATTTCGTTCACAGAGATCTCGCGTGTCGAAATTGCCTGGTATCCGCGCGGGATCGCGAGAACCGCGTTGTAAAAATCGGCGACTTCGGACTAGCTAGAGACATTTACAAGAATGATTATTATCGCAAGGTGAATACAATTTTTGTGACAAAATAAAATGTTGCAAACTGATCTGTTTTACGTCACGATACTATGCAAAGCGAAAGATTTAATTCGCTACTGAAATTATTTTTCAGGAAGGAGAAGGATTACTTCCAGTTCGCTGGATGGCACCGGAATCCTTGGTGGACGGAGTGTTCACTTCACAGAGCGACGTTTGGGCGTTCGGAGTGCTAATGTGGGAGATTACCTCGCTGGGTCAACAGCCCTATCCTGCCCGAACCAATCTTGAAGTGTTGCATTACGTGCGTGCCGGCGGTAGGCTACCGAAGCCTCTCAACTGCCCATCGACGTTGCATCAATTAATGCAGCGTTGCTGGAGCGCAGCGGACGCGAGGCCGAGCTTCAAAATTTGTCTCGAGAGTATCGTTCTTCTGAGAGGCAATATAGAAGACGCGATATTGAGCCCGGTGCACACCGGGCATTACCTGGCACGCAAAGGTGAATTGACGTCGATTCTTATTTCATGCGCATATCATTGCATGGAGCAAAGAGTCTTTTGCAAACCGATAGAATGTTGACTGAAGATATGCAATTTGTTATTCTCGCTCGCATTACATAAAAACATTCAATGCCCCCATGAGTCATTTGTTCTATTATTACAATATTGTTATAAAATTGATTTAAAGAAATTGTAATGCATTTTTTCGAGATAAAGATGTGAGAAAGATTATACGATAGAATCATAATTTTGCGATTTATAAATGAATAAGATCTTTCGCTAGATTTTGAAAAGTCAGAAAAATAGCGAAATGAGCATGTTTCTCATACACATTCATGTAACTCGACATTTTGAAATCATGTGTAATGAAATTCGTGTATCGCGGATTTCTTCATCGCGAACTTCTTTAACCCTTAAGTGTACTGGAATATTATTGTCTGCTTGAATACATATTTATCATTGCATGGCTCGTGCTTGCAGGCGTGTCTAACATGGCTTACTTTGCTGACGAGAATCAGAATCATAACAATTCAGGTAGGTTTTAACAAACATCATCTGCCACTGTCATCCAACGCCGGAAGAGAATACGGTTCTCCACTTCTCATCGATCTCGGATCTTTCTTGTCATTGATTAACCCGCAATGTAATTTTTGTCCTAATTTTTACATAATATCGAAATCGAGTAACATTTATTATACAGAATTATGTAAAATATTAAAAGATTACTTATTAGAGTTCCGAAATTGATGAGGACCTAATGTTTTACAAATTTATAGAATTTATTATAAAAGTGTATATATATATACTCGTAAATATCGTAAATATTATTTTCTAACAAGTTATATTTTATAATTTTAACATTATAATGTGTACGCTAAATTATAATTGGTATTGTATAGGAAACTCCTGGAAGTCCAGCAGCTCCGAGGGAAGCCGAGACATGCAGCCGTTCCTTCAAAACTCGAACAATGCCACGCACAATCCGCAATCCGGCGAAGTCCCGAAGTATCTTGAGTTATTAGCGGACAACGAAGATGCTGTCTCAAGAGAAAACCCCACGAATGGCTACGAAGTACCTCGTTCGATCCACGTCTCGGATCAGAACTTAACGAGTATAAGCAGGATCAGTTGTGTGAATCAGGACCGCAAGTGCAGTCTGCCAACGGATAACACGCAAGAGCGCAAGGAACACACGACGGAGGAACGGAAGCAGTTTGACGGCAGGCTGTACGACAAGAGATCGTCGATCACTAGTCTAAATTTACCGGACCGAAGAGGTGCGTCAGTTTCAGGCATGCCGGAGAAGTGTAACACGCTGGACAGCTTGAAATCGGCGAACTCAGTCGCAAAAGCGGCGCTCAAGAGAAACTCCTTCTCGTCCCTGAACGGCCAGCGAAAATACAAGACTAACTTGAGCGAGCGAAGAGATTCCGAGGCGAGTATCGAGGACAGGAGTTGCAGCTCGCACAGTCTGGCGCCTTCCACGCGTCCTAGCTCGTCCTTGATTAATTCGCAGACAGTCCTGCCGTGCCTAAAGAACAACGTTACCGCGAGCAACGTTACCGGAAACGGCGAAGTGCCCTCGATTGAGAGTACAGCGACGAAGAATACGTTGTCGAAGATCCAAAGGACTCACTCGAACTTGCAGAACGGCAAGGCAAATATACCGCTCGTGATAAACAGCGCGCTGTTGAATCTACTGCGGCAGACGCCCGTCGTCGAAGACGGCAACAGCATCGTCACGTATACGAATATCAACGCGGACGCTGTGAAAGTGAACGGATCGTGAATCGCTGCGTTGAATTAAAAATATGAGACTCTATAAGAGTTGCTTTTGAACTTGAGTGAGATGTGAAACGATGACTAAATATTCCGAAATGAGTTGCGCTCGAGTAGATCTGTTGTAGGGCTTGGAGCAACAATTGAATAATTATGCGATGGGAGATCTTCACTCATAGTCATTTATGAGGTACTTTGTTGAAGTGTTTTCTTTTTAAGTAGTCTTCCCAAGGCTTGTCGCATTCGAAGCCTATTCAGACGGACTTGTCTCGTAACTCGCAAAAAGTTACTTGAGACACAGCTAGTACGGTTTTGCTCAAATCTCTTTTTTTTCTTTTTTGTTTTATCTTAACACGGTGCCTTAAGTATAGCAAGCGTACACTCATACAATAAACTCTATGTATATCGTTAATACCCAAGCATTGCACAAAAAGTGAGGAAGAGCAGCGGCGAACAGAGTGGAATAGCTTTAAACTGCCATTTTAACATGTACATACATTTTTTTATACTCAAAAATTTGGCTTATGTAGATATGGCAGACCGTTTCGATGTGCATAGCTATTGCGATTTCAGTCTTAAAACTGTTATTTAATATAAGAATCACATACGTTGACGAAGATTGATAGATGCAAAGTACAGTTTATAACTTTATATATATAACTACTGTTTTAAATAACATATTTATTGAACAACCTATGATGATATTTTCACTGTTCATTGTACAAATTTCACATTTGGTGATAATTAGCAGATAATATGAAAATCGATATAAGAAATTGTTAAGTTTTTTTATGTAGTTTTAACAATAAGAAATTGTATAATTTTCGTATAATCGAAAGGATAAGTTTGTGAATATACAAAATCCAATTCACGCCAATCGACTGACTATACTTGAAATTTGTATTTTCAACTTGCTTTGTAGGAAAATAAATTGTCAATCAATGAATATTATAGGATTAATCATTGTAAATAATATATTATAAATGATACTGGACTTTTAATTACATTTGTCGACCTATATATTAATTACATGAACAAGATATATTTCAATTCTTTTAAAATATTAAAACGATGCTGCGAGAAAATGTAAAAAGATGGAGTTACTACAAGCAAAGTTTGGATTTTTTAAATACTTTCAGGAATTTTCAAGAATTACTATTTTATATATCTTCATATGTAACACTTAATGCGGATAAAAGGGTCTCTGAAGAATCTTCAAGAGTCCAAAAATTTGTTAATGGGATCTTCTATCTATATATGTACCTTAGCTTTTCTCTCATAAGAATCATAAATTGGAAAATATCCTATCCTTTTGATTCTGACAAATCGTCTCAGTTTCTGCATCAGTCTTCATACGTGCTTACTGGACATTTTTCTCCATTAAAATTCAATCCTGAAATGCAAAACACGGATCATTTTTAGTTTACACGTAAATAGTTGCAGCTTCAATATAATATGACAAGGAAAATGTATAAATCATTGCTAAAATATAGAATATGGATCTGTGATTATTATTCCTTAGTGAGAAAAATAAATTTTATTTTTTAAAACAATTGAGATAACATTAAATTTTAATATTAAATTTTAATGTATTAAATTCACTATGTTTTTTTATAAACTATAATGCAATCAATAACACAATGTACAATAGCAGAATTACTTACCTAAGTTGCATTTGTAAGAGGTACATCATCGTCGAAGGAATCATCCTTACTGTGTTCATGTAGCAAAACATATTCTCTAGTGCTGAAACCAAATCTTATCACATCTTTTTCTAATAATTCATGGTATCTCCTTGGTTCTAATTTTACATTATTTACAAAGGTGCCATTAGCTGATTCTAAATCAATGATATATGGTCGTACTCTTCTGCCCTCGACACCACCTTCTTTTTGAAAGGAGACTAGACGATATTGCAGAGCGGCATGTTGTTTAGAACATGAAGGATGATCCAAGGGTATGTCAGCTACTTTACGATCTCTGCCCATGAGATACGCCGATTGTCGATGGATGTACAATGTAGGCAATGCTTTCTCCCCTTTGAAGGGATACAGTCTCCATCTGCGTTTGGGCTTTCTGGCATCTTGTGGCTCAGCATACTTTATAACCACTCCATTGACAGTATTCATGTCTTCTGTCAACTTTCCTGATAATTCAAAGTTGGGTTTCTCTTTCTCCTGTTGCTTTGATTTATCCTCATTCTTTACATTTGATTTTCCCCATTCGGGGGAAGGTTCCTTCTTCATTCTTACATCCTCCGGGCTCCTCTTTTGCTTGTACTGATCGTTGCGTCTCCTTCCAGAGTCATCTCTTCTCTCCTTACTCCTACTTCTCTCATTACGTTCTCTGTGCCGAGAATAATTGTTCTCTCTTCGTGGCGGCGATCTGTCATATTTTCTCCTGCCATTCTGCTTTTCGTCGTCTTTTCTGAAGTGATCACGTCTGCTACCTCTGTGTTCTCTGCTTCTATCTCTCTGTGATCTGTCTCTGTAAGAATCATTACTCCTCTCACACCTGTCTTCTCTGTTACTTTTATAAGTAACGTCTCTTCGATCTGCGTTGTTGCTGTGACTCGCTCGCCAATTTGACATATTATCAAATTATTCGCGAGTCAAGATAATGAATAATTGTCAATATCGATAGTCTAACCTCACTAAACTTGCTTAGAATAAAATCGGGGTAAATCGCAATGCTATATGTACGACAATTTTATCATGTGTGTGATCAATACCGCACACACGCTTTTATTGCTGTAACATATCGTAAAATCGATTTGTCTTACGTACTGTACTACAATTTAACAATAGCACACAAAAACTATGAAATACACACAACTCATTGTCAGAACCGCTATGCAGAAGCGGAGCGTTTGTGGCGCCCCTTAAAGCCGACCGATGCTACTAAATGAAAATCGACGTGGTAACTAATTATCTCCTCACTTTCTTAAAACATTATAATTTTTTGATAATATTAAATATTATATATATATTATATATATAAAACTATAAGAGAGTAACATAACTATAAGAATATAACTATAATATAACTATATAAACATATATATTATATATACAAAACTATCTTTTCTTGAATAACTTTAACTTTTATGCTGTTAAATATGCAAAATAGTTTGAAAGAAACAATGATAAAAGCATCATTTACATGTATTACACATTTATTAAAAATACAGACTAGACATTGTTGCAATATATAATTGGAAGACATAAATCGCAAAGAGAAAATGCATGGAATAAGCAAGAGCATATATTAAGACATTGCGTTTTATTTTGTATAAAAAAGTACAAAATTATCCTTATATATACATAATAATACATAATTAAGATATCTACAAGGATACTTATGAGTTCCTAATAATTTCCCACGTCGCAATTTTTTCCTCATATATTTAATTGCTTTCCTTTATTTTTGCTCTACTCTCAAGAGAAACATGTCATGTAATCCAATATCCCAAGAAATCCACCACTTTTTAAATTAGTATTCATTATTGAAATTCTTTCATTGTCGCATCAATGTGTGTAATTAAATCTAGAGTCTATTCAGCAGAATGATAAAGAATTAAAAATAAAATTTGATTTAAATTAAATAATTTACAAAATGTTTAGTTCTATTATCGCGATAAAGGAGAAAATTATTTTTAACTGTCATAAATTTGCGATATAAAATTACCAAAACGTAGTAGAATATAATAAAATCTTCACGAAATATTCCGCGCTTTCCATGGCCATAAATTATTACGTTTTAAATATTAAAAGGAGATTTACGAGACAAGTTAATACGTCGAGAAGGTGGAATCATCCATGGAAGCAGTGCCGTCGGAGTTGCTCTCGGCAGCGTCTACAAAGGCTGTCGAGAGATCGCCGGCCAGTTTGCTGACAGACCCTGAGGTCACGTCGTACATGAAGATTTCCTTGTCACCCTGACCATCACCGTCTCTCAGTCTGAAACACAGCAGCGAGTGAATTCAAGTGAAAGCGTGCAGCGTCGCAAATTCCTCGACTTTCGAGTGAATTCGCGTGGCGGACAAACCGTTGATGATAATACGCGATGAGAGTATCGCATTAGGAAGTTAATGGAGCGAACCTCTAGTCGATATAGCACACAACATATACTATGTAAAAATAAAAAAAAGAAAATGACGGAAGAATTATGAATAAAATTATTTTAGGAAACGTCAAGTAATTTAATAAAATCGCTTATATAACCAGTTGCAAGCGAATATAATAATGAACAAAATAGAAATAAAAACAAATCTAAATATTTGCTAAATTAGACAGGATTTAAATAAAAAAAAGTAAAGACAGAGAAACTTTAATTTAATTAATAATACAGTGCTTATTTCATTTGTGAAAGTGATATAACTCCAGAGTTATATCATCGGATACAAAGTACTCACATCGTCACCAGAAGCACGACGGACTGCCTCTGCGGTTCGGTGCGACTCTCCTGTTCGAGCCACTTCTTGTAGTTCTCCGCGCTGGGCTTCTTCACGAGCTGCTTGAGGGTGTCGCCGGCGAAAAATCTGACTGGCTGCGCGTCCCCGTCGATCTTCCTGCTCTGCCGCTGCGACTCCGCGATCTGCTTCGCCTCGTCGGGAAAGTCGTAGTCGACGGGCGCCAGTACCACGACGCTCGTGATCCTACGGCCGTTAAGCTCCGGCGTATCCGGTATTGGGAAGGACGCGCCACTCACTTTGAGCGGCAGGTAACGATTGTATTGAGCGCCATCCCCGCGCGCTCCCACGGTCACCGGCTCGAGCCGGGTCGCGTCGTCCCGTATGTGCTGCTGCGCCACGGTCCGGCCTTGCTCCGTATTGGGATCGAAGCGTACTACTTTCATCTCCACGCCGCCGGGTCGCAAGGTGGCTGGCTCGAACTTGGTCGCGCCGCTACCGCCGCCGGCGGTCCCCGCTGTCGCCTTCTTCGGCGGCGAAACGCCGCTCACCTGCTGCGTCGTCTTCGTCGGCGGTCTCTTGGCGATCGACGGCACGGGCTCGCTACCAGCGGCGAGTGCCGTACCGCCTCCGGCTCCGTAGAAATTCGCCAGTGCCTCCGGCGGCAGTTTCTCGATCGGTATGTCGCCGATCTTGTCGTAGTCGAGGATCTGGATGTCGGCGTTACCTAAAATCCCGGAACTCAACAGCTGCTCCCTGATATCGTCGGGCACCTCGTCCGGTAGATTGGCGATGTTCTCTTGAATCTTCGCCACCTTGTTCGGCGGGATCGTAGTTGGCGCCTCGGTGGTCGTGGTGGTGGTTGTCGTTGTCGTCGTCGTTGTCGTCGGCAGGAAAGTTCTCGCGGTCGACGGCGACTCGAACTCCTCGGACGGACTGACCGGCGTCGCATAGATCTTCTGCGAGGGATTCGAGTTGAATATCGGGCGACCGCCCCATATCGATGACGATTGCTGCAGAGACGAAGTGCTCTGCGGCCGCTGTTGTGGTCGCTGTTGCGGTCGCTGCTGCGGCGTCGGCGGTAGGGTTTGCGAGAAGAAACTGTGCTGATTATTCTGATAAGACTGATGCTTCGCGTTCAACTGTTGATGCTGCTGCTGCAGAATATCGCTGGAGATGAAGTGATTCGGTGCGTTGCCGGAGAGTTGTTGGAAATCCTGAAGAGCGTTCGGCGACTGCGCAGAGGCGAAGTGATTCTGAGCGATTTCGGGGAACGGGGTAGTTTGCACCACCGCGGAGTTCGGCGGGAACGGACCAGGATGAAGAGGATTCTCTCTGATCGCGTAATGCTGTTCTAGCTTCGGAACAGCCTTGAAGATTTCACCGGCTGGTCGTTGCGCCGATTGTAATTGCGATTGCTGCAGCTGAGCTTGATTGTACTTGAATTGTGCGCGATATCGTTGTTGCTCCTGAAGAAGCTTCTGCTCTTGCTCCTGCTTTCGCCTGCGCTGCTCTTGCAATCGCTGCAATTCTTGCAGATGTTGTTGTTCTTGCAGCCGCTGCTGTTCTTGCAAACGTTGTTGCTCCTGGAGCCTTTGGTGCTCCTGTTGCCTCTGATGCTCTTGCTGCCTTTGCTGCTCCAATAATCTCTGCTGTTCGATCTGTCGCTGTTGCTCCAGGAAACGTTGATGTTCCTGATGCCGTTGCTGTTCGTGCTGCCGTTGCTGCTCGTGCTGCCGCTGATGCTCCCGCTGCTTCAGCAGTTCCTGCTGTCGTCGCTGCTCGTGATATCGCTGCTTCTCCAGTTCCTGTTGCTTGAACGGAGACAGCGATTGCGGAGGGAGTTCCGCGTTGAAACTGTTCGGCCTAATGGGCAGTGATTGTTGCGGCGGTTCTGGGTTGAAGCTGCCGGGTCTGATCGACAACGGTTGCTGCGGCGGTTCCGCATTGAAACCGCTCGGTCTAATCGACAGTGGTTGCTGCGGCGGTTCCGCATTGAAACCGCTCGGTCTAATCGACAGAGGTTGCTGCGGTGGTTCCGCGCTGAAGCCAGACGGCGGCAACGACAGCGGCTGATTCTGCAGGTTCACGCTCTGATGCGACACCGATAGCGTCGGTGGGAATCCTGGCTGCTGCGGGTGATTGATATTAACGCGATGCGGCGGTGGGCCGAAACTATGGAACGGCGCGCGTTGTTGTACTTCCGGAAGACCTTGGATCGTTATGGGATGCCGTTGCGGTGCGTCTCGGCGGTGGCGGCGGCGGCGGTGGATTTCTCAAAGCTTGCTGAGGTGGAAATGCCTGATGATGTGGCTGCTGCTGCTGCGGCTGTAGAAACGTCGGCTGCTGTTGCAAAGCCTGTTGTTGTAGCGCTTGCTGTTGCGGCGGAAACGAGTTGACGATCCGCTGTTGCGGGAACGCGGGCGGCACTCGTATTGATGGAGACACCGGCGGCTGCAGAGGTTGATACGGGCCGTGTTGTCTCTTCGGTGACCCCGGTGATGCCGTCGGCTTGCTAGTATGCTGCTGCTGCTGCTGCTGCTGCTGCTGCTGCTTCTGTTGCTGCTGCGGTTGTTGCTGCGGCTGCGGCTGCTGCTGTTGCTGTGTGCTGCTGCTGGGTGTCTCCAGATCGCTGCGCTTGCTGTGACTGTTCGGCGGCACTTGCTCGGTGCCGAAAGTCACGCGAATGCCACTGCTTCCAGAGTGATACACCTCGCTATCAGGTCGGATAATAGCGCGCAAGGTCGTCGACGGCTCCGGAGCCGGCGCCGGAGTCGCCGTGTACGTCGGCTCTTCCTCGTACGGCACCGAGTTGTCCGGCTTGATTTCTTCATGTTCCTCCACCGGCGTCAGCGCCGGTATCGGCGGATCGTAGACGACGCGGGTTTTATCGCCATAGCCCTTTTTCTTCTCGTACTTCACGTAGAACACCTGGATGGGTTCCTTCGTCGGTCGCGGCTGAGGCGGCGACGACGGAGGCACCGGCGTCGGCAGGGATTCATTGGATTCTTTGATGATGATCTCGATTATCGGCTCGGGCTCCTGTTGATAGTAGCTCAGCGGCGTCTCCTCGTATAAATCGTCGTTCTTCGGACTCGCTAAGGGATTGTACAAGGGATCTCTCTGCGAATACTGCACTATTGGTTCCATCTGAACCGCGTACGGCGGCAAACGGCTTTTTCGCAGGTGGAAGGTAAGCTGCTGACGTTTATCGCGGCTCTTCGACGACGAGCTCTCCTCCTTGGCGGAGGTCGCCACGGCGAGAAACGCCAAGAGTGTCTGAAAGGCAACAACAAAAATCGGCGTGTTGATAGAGCATTTTTTTGCATCGCAATGCTGGCAAAAATTATCGATTCGAACATGTTAACATAAAATGAATATTTGTTATGACTTAAAATACTGAAATACTTTTTTCTTCATGCTACAAAAATACGAAATGCAAGTCATCTCTTTGGCAATGATACAAATATTCGAGAAGTGGCACAACGATCCGTATCGATAGTCTAATTGAGCGGTGATGTCAGCATTTCAAGTAGATTAGCATAGTAGGCGAAAATGTAAATACACGAAGAGGGACTTAACGCGTTCTGATAACCGAGTAACCCGTTTAATAACCAGAAAATGCATCCAAGGCCTTAACGGGCCTCGGGATCGATTGGTATGCTAGTGAGAATCGAGGAACAGTTAACCTGATAAGCGATTCCCAGTTGTGATCGCGCTCTCGATATGGCGAAGCCGACTTGCAACGTATCGAACGTTTCTCGTTTCTCTGAAATCGCTTGGCTGCCAAACTTCTATTAACGGGAATAGAAGTCGCGGATTTCCGCGTGCTCTACTGACGCAGTTCTCGAGGTAGAGCTAAAAATTTTCATTACATATTCTTTAAATCAATTAGTAAGTCAAAGTATTTATCTTTCGCGAAATTCGTCGCCGTTCATCGCAATTTACGAAGAGAAATGCATCGCCGATAGAATACGTTGTGCTCGATTAATTTTTGTAAGACCAAAAGTGGGTGAGAGGAGAGAAAGAATCGAAGTTTAAAAGACGCATCGCGTTTCACCTCGAGAATTCGGTGCCTCTCTCGATGCTGGTTAGCATATTCGAATGAGGCCCCGAGTGTCTTCTCTTGAGCGAGGCGCGCGCGCGCGCGCCTCGGGCGCTTTGAAGCCGACTGGAAGAAAGAAAAAGCCAATGATAACGATGCGCTCGATTAATCGGCCTTCAACCTCCGTCGATTATCGGCCGTATCATTGCCGGTCGCGTTCGCTGCGTTTTATTAGCGCACTTTCCCCGCGCGCGATACGCTCGCTGATTGCAAATGATAGAACCGCGAGGGTCTTCGCGCGACCCCCTTATTACGATGAAAGTACAAGCGTTTTCGTCTGCAAAACGACCCGCTTCGCGGATACGAACGTTTGTTATAATTACCAGCTTGACGAACCGCATCCTGTGATCGTCTTTGTGTACTTCCTCACACAATGGGAGGGGGAGGAGGAGAGGGGAGAATCACACACTTCTCACCGGCCGATTAGAGGCGGCTGACTCGCGGCATGACACCGCGCGCGGAACGATCGGACGTACCTGGCCGGACGATACCGTCTGGAGTCTCGCATGGGAACTGAGGGACAAACCGGGCGCAGGGGCCCGTTTCTCCCAACCCGATGCCACCACCACCGCGACCCGGCCGTCGTTCCTCAAGAAGCTCCTCTCTAATATCGAAGACGGTGGAGCAGCACCTTTCTCCGGGGTCCCCCGTCACGATGCGCGCTCACCTCGTGCGTGTTCGTGTCCGTTGTACACGTGGACGGGTTGTACGTGGAGAGAAAAAAAAAGAAAGAGAAGATACGTGCGGCGCGGAGCGCATCCTCTTCATACAACGACGACTTTCTTCAAATCTTCCCCGTCGGGAGATCGGCAGTGGGGACTATTATACTAAGCGCCATCACTTTTCCGCGACCTCCAAGGCCCATCGAAACCGAAACCCATCTTCCTTCCTCTCCTTCTCGCGCGAGTCTCTCGCGCGGAGGCCTATTCGGTGAAAGAGAACCGCGTCGAGTTTTAATGCGGCACACAATCTGGAGGCGATTACTTTCGCTGAGCTAAGTCGCGACTTCCTCGAGACAAGCGATCGTTTCCGATTCGTTCAATGATCCTTGAAACGCGAGAAAGGATACACCGATCGATTCGGTTGTCTCGTTGCGACTTGTATAATGATTAATTAATTTTAATTGAGACGCACTCGTCGCACAAATCAGTCTCCGTTATGAACGGATGCAATTAAGGCGATCGCAATTATATTACCATTACCATTCTTCCAGGCTTTGACTTTCCTGCGGTTCTTGCCTCTTTCGAAATAATAACTGAACTCACATTCACAAACGTGCATTTAGATAGTGCAAACCCGTTACATACCGCCATAAATTATTTCTCTGAAAGCGATGCAATCTTAGTTAATTTCGTGAAGGTGCAAGGACAGAAACCGTTTCCGTTCCTTTTTTCTGTAGAAAATGTACAACCATTTTTCATGGCACTCTCAAAAGTGTAACAAAAAGGATTTTAGAAAAATAATTATACATTTTTCGAAGATATACAAGACATCGTTCTTTCATAAATATCTGATTCAAACAGTGTGCGAAATGTTCTATACAAAAAAAAATTTTTTTCCTACACTTCGCGTGAAATCAGACGTTATTCAGATCCGCTTACACCGTCGACCTATAATTACATGAAACGTTTTTTTATTCAAGCACGATCTGTCGAACATCTGCAATGTCTGAGGTAACCTACTCATTCGCAAGAAATTACAGAGGATTATGTATAAGTCGTGTGGGCCGTTGCGAAAGACGGTAGATCCAGTAGAGCAATTGAACGAGATGACCTGGTAGAGCCCTCCCCCGATTGCAAAAGTGCTTCGCAAAAGCGATGCAGAGCACTCGCTCCTCGTGTTAGCACTTGCGCAACCGCAGATCGTTCCAGATCGGCGAGATCATCAAAGATTTTCATCGTCCTTCTGACCCTCTTCGAGCCGGCTGTCGATCGCTCGAAGGGGAAAAAGTCGAGACGTGCGTTACGAGAGAAGTGAAATGACGAGGGAGTCATATAATTTCGAAAGTCGTGAGAGAATCCGTTGTTCATTTGCACGCAAGCCTTAGGTTTTCAACATTATTCATTAATTTGGCGATAGCCGATGTTCCGGCACTTGTGATGGCGACTCGAGTCTCTCTGGCGCACGTCCAGGCATTCAGATTGGACGTCGCGCGTCCTACTTGCTAACTTTCACTTATAACGTTGGCGTAAGAAGATTCGAATAACAGCCGGCAGACACAAAGATGATAAATACAGGATCCGTCTGTCCGTCCGGGACGGTCAGTGATCCGCGAGCCAAGGCGGTATTTCATGTTGACTTATCGTCGTTTCGCCGGAAACGATATCGTTTCTGAACGTCCCACCTAACTGCATAATTTCGCACGCGAGAACGATTCATCACTTTTCCGCGGCGACGAATAGGTCAAACGGAGGCGTCTCAATGCACCTGATAAACTGTTCGTAATCTGTTTACTTAACGGTGTTCTAAGGAGCCTCGGAACGTGACAAATTCACGTTGTCGCGTAACTGTCTAGCTTTCTTTTTGGTTGCAAAATTAATTTCTCAATTTTCGACAAAATAATTAAGTCGAAAAATTTGAATTTTTATGTAAAATAATTTGAGAAACAAAACCTTGCTATTTATTAGTTTCCTATTTTATATTGGAAGTTAAATACGACCATGCGATATTCTGTGTATCTTGCAAGATTAAAATAAATTGCGAGAATATATAATTCTGTTTCTTTTATTTCTGTTTCTTTTGTTTATTTTTCTAATATTGTAAATCGTGTTTGCCTTATCTGTAAATTCTGTCGATATCCTGTCGGTATTAAATACAGGAAATGTCATTATACAATAAAAGCTAAACATTTGTGCGGCAGTAAAATTACTTTTACCATAAAAACGACACTTTCCAACTCGTTTTCTACGATACAACTGTCGCAATTATTTTTGTGCAATTAAATCGATTCTTGGTTCTTGCGAAAATTCAAATACGACGATATGTCGAATAATATTTACGCGTTATGCCGTTCAATTAATGCACCTGCTATCGAGCCGAGTATTCATACACGAAGAGCGTGGAAACTTTCTTGGGACGCGATTCTGTCACGTCGTCCTCGTGATTGCACGAACGATCTCCGTAACAGCAACGGTAAAAGATTGCGCGATTTTGATTCGCACAGTTCTCATGAAAGCATGATACGGATCCTCCTCCTACGAGGAGCACGTAGTCGCTAACTATATATAGTTCTTCGAGAGTAGTCCGCTCATGAGCAATAACGTAACTGTTGAAGAGTGAAAGTGCCGCAAAGTGGGACGTTGCGGGAATAGTGCTCGCTCTTATAATTAATAAACAAAGCGTACAAACGGTTTCTCACCATCCTTGCATTCAATGTGACATTTTTATGGGACCTTGCCGAGTGCGTTAACTATACGCGTTTAATGATCAAGACCTTTCCCAACACACTCGCTCTTTTATGGATCTCGCGCGATCATTAAAAAATAATCGCACAAATTCACTAATTGAATCGTCTTACAAAATAAACGAATTTACTTATATAATATTTAAAAATTTGTTAGATTAAGAAAGTATGACTATAAAATGACATTACTTTTTATATTCCGCGTTGTGTTTTTTTTCTTTTCAATTGAGATGTTATTTAATAAATATTTTTTTATAAAAAAATTTTATAATGAAAAAATTTTCATAAAATAATTTTATTATAAAAAATATTCATTAAATAATATTCATTAATATTTTTTTACAATAAAAAAATATTTGTTATTGTAAATTACATTATTTGTTAAATTTGTTTTACGCAAAAGTATAATGTAACACATATTACGGCTTTCTTTTATTCAAAAAATTTAAAAACAAGTCCTAGAAACATAAAATCAATTTAAAATAGAATTGCAACATCAGATTATCCTATAAATAAACATTTTTCTGTAACACAATTTGTCTATTTATTATTATATAACTGTTCTTGTTTCAGAGTCCTCGTTTACACGAAAAATTCTTTTGTCTTCACCTTCAGTGCATACAAAGGTACATATCACTTGCGGTAACTCGATTCCTGATTAGATTTGTAGATCAGATTTTTTGCAATGATCTAATTCACTAGGTGGAAAATTCTCACTCATGTTTTCCAGCGTGAGAAAAATATTTCATAAGTTACAGAAGCTTTGCACGCAATGTACACGAGTTAATTTGAGGCTGAACTAATTAAGAAATAGAGCCAACCGAAACTGACGCGCTATATAATATACTATGAATAACAGTGACTGTTATTTTCAAGAATATTTATGGCACAAAAAGCGGTATGCTTTTTAAATTGGGTTTAAAATACTGGCGCTTGTTGGTCGAAGAAAGGCCTTAATGACATTCTGGATATCTGATATCGGCTATGTACAAGCGAGTATCGACTATATGAGCGGAAAATACATAACTGCGTTATATAATTACATACCATATCACACGAAAAATTACCTATAATTGATGTTACGCTCGCTGCGCTTTCTATTTCAGCTTCGTGCACTCCGCAATCAGCGCGGATTTATCGGAAAATTATTTTCCATTATCCTTTTGGATTTATTAAAAATTGTTGCTAAATTGCAATTTCCCAAGTGCTCTAGTATTATCACGATCGATTTA